CGGGTGAAGTCGGTGATTTCGATCAGGCGCAATCGCTGGTCTGGAGCGTCGAAGCGAAGTCTGAAGCCATTCTTGGGAAGGCTGACGATGATGGTTGTCTTGAGAGGAGTCTCGGAAGAAAAGGTCAGGTCGATCTTGGGGAAGGTGCGTGTGTCGCTTTTGAGCTTTGTCAATATGTCGAATAGAGAGGCGCCCAAGACNTGCAGAGGAGGGTCAGATGGAGGGAAGATAAAGCGTAGATGCAACGGCAAGCACATACCCATGAAGCCCAGTGAGTGGGCGGCTCGGAAGGGGAGCGATGTTGGTTCTGCCATGATCGGCGGGTCAAGGGAATGCGAGTTTTCTGAGTGTATGATATGATAGAGCTAGAAGTAGTTGTTGGGCAGGTGTTGTGTATTGACGTTGTCTGGCCGGCGTGTCATGTGCCAGTGGTGTTGGTCATGCGATGCAGCAGTGTTTCGTGAGCAGAGGCGTCGACTTCGAGGGCAGATATGCAGCGTCGTCGAAGGGTTTGTCGCCAGGTTGATCTCATGCGGCAGGCGCACAAGACGACGAAATCATGCAATCAGGTAAGGTAGGTGCTTGTACGAGGCAGGAACAACCCTGATGGAAGAGGGAGGGGCTATCGGAGGCCGGAGTTAACGGTGTTTGCTCGGCCCACACGTCACGCTAGAGCATTCCACTGTTTATGGTTTTTGTTTGTAAACACAGACACAGACACTGCCATCCCGTCTAACCGTCAACGACTCTGTCCGATATATCTTAATCCTCTGTCATGTCGGCTCCCACCAGACCGGGACTGGCTGTCAAGAGACCAACGATGCGTCCGCCGACTTCCATGCGCCCGCCGCCCTCGCGCACTCCTTCACGCGCCCAAACAGCTACTCCCAGCCTCGGCGGGAGACCGTCAGAAATGCCACCATCGCCCGCACAATCAGTCCAAGGTGGAAAGAGGAAGGAACGCGATTTCGATCACCAGGACCAGGACCACGAGACAAACATCAATGTAGTCGTGCGCTGCAGAGGTCGCAATGATCGCGAGTTGCGCGAGAACAGCGGCGTCGTCGTCAAGACCGAGGGCGTCAAGGGCAAGAATGTTGAGCTCTCCATGGGGCCCAGCGCTCTCAGCAACAAGACATATCAGTTCGACAAGGTCTTTTCGCCCGCTGCAGATCAGGCTATGCTCTTTGACGATGTCGTCGAACCCATCCTCGACGAGGTGAGAAAGCCCTTCCAAAATATGCCATGTCCCCAATTTTCTGACTTTCTTAGGNTTCTCGGCGGTTTCAACTGCACCATCTTCGCATACGGCCAAACAGGCACGGGAAAGACATACACCATGTCCGGCGACATTACCGATATGCAACCTTTACCCGACGCCGCCGGTATCATTCCCAGAGTCCTGTACTCTCTGTTCAACAAGCTTGGAGAGGACAACGAAAGCTCTGTCAAGTGTTCGTTCATCGAGCTTTATAACGAAGAGTTGCGCGATCTTCTGTCCACCGAGGACCACGCAAAACTGAAGATCTACGACGACAACAGCAAGAAGGGCCAAACAACCACTCTGGTACAAGGCATGGAAGAGTCACACATCAAAACCGCGTCGAAAGGTCTCGAGCTTCTTAGGAGTGGCAGTCACAAGCGACAGGTTGCCGCCACAAAGTGCAACGATCTCAGTTCTCGCAGTCATACTGTCTTCACCATCACCGTCTACATGAAGCGCACGACCGAGACTGGCGAGGACTTTGTCAGCGCTGGAAAACTCAACTTGGTCGATTTGGCTGGTAGTGAGAACATTCAGCGCAGTGGAGCCGAAAACAAGCGTGCTGCAGAGGCCGGTCTCATCAACAAGAGTTTGCTCACTCTCGGTCGCGTTATCAACGCGCTTGTTGAGAAGAGCTCTCACATCCCCTACAGAGAATCCAAGCTCACCCGTCTTCTGCAAGACTCTCTCGGAGGCCGTACCAAAACCTGCATCATTGCCACACTTTCACCAGCAAAGAGTAATCTGGAGGAAACGATATCCACTCTAGACTACGCTTTCCGCGCAAAAAACATTCGCAACAAACCTCAGATCAATCAGATGGTCACCAAGAAGACTTTACTCAAAGAATTCACCATGGAGATCGAAAAGCTGAAGAGCGAACTCATTGCAACTCGCCAGCGCAACGGTGTCTATCTCACCCAGGAGGCTTACGAAGAGATTAGCGTCGAGAGCGAGTCAAGGCGAATCCTCTGCGACGAACAAAAGGACAAGATTGAAACCATGGAAACCAACCTGCGTAACAAAGTTCAGGAACTCTTCAGTCTGACAACTAACTTCAATGGACTGAGAAAAGAGAATGAACAAGCAAAGTTGATGCTTGATGGAACCAAGAGCCTTCTCGAGAAGACTGAAGTCGTGCTCACTCACACAAAGCGTAGTTTGACTGAAGAAACATTCATCAGGAAGGCTCACCAGAAGACGGAGTCCAAACTCGCTGGCATTGGAGAGGATCTACTTACAACACTTTCTTCCACAACCACAGATATTTCTGGCCTCCACTCGAAGATCCAGCGCAAGGCAGACTTGCACTCACTCAACCGAGAAAACTGGGCCTCGTCGAAGAGCAGAGTCACAAATACAACCAGCACGGTCGAGGATAGAGTGGAGACTCTCAGACAACGGCAGGAACAGCTTCTCACCTCCATGTCTACGAGAATGCAAGGTTTCGTTGCGGACGAGCTGCAGGAGCTCCAACAATCCCAGAGGTTCTTGCAAGAGAAGGCCGAAGCATTCCAGAGATCCGAGAAGGAAGTTAACATCCAAACCGCAAAAGCCAGAGACGATGTGAACGAAGTACTCGAGGAGATTAAGACACTCCGCGAGGACGTCAAGCAAAATGTCGGAAATGGCTTGAACGATCTTTCCGCTGCTGCTCAGCGCATTACTGCTGGTATCTCTACCGAGCTTGAGAACTTCCACACTCAGCTCCACGCATCATACGTTTCACTAGGCAGAGAGTTCAAGTCGATCTTCGACGATGTCGTCAAGCAACTCAGCGAGCAACAAGCCGAGTCTGAACGCCTGCGACAGCAAATCCTAACTGCCAACTCAACATTTATGGAGGCTGGCCAGGAATCTCGGCAAACTTTCGAAGAAGCTATGGAGGAGGAGCGTCGTCGCGCTGCTGCTGACCGGGAGAAGATGCTGTCTCAAATCAGCTCTCTGATCACGACTTCCGCTGAAGCTCAGGAGCGCAGGATCACTGAGCATATTGCGCACGCATCCAAGCGCATTAAGACTTCTGAGGATGACTACAGTGTCGCTCGCGAGACGTACAACGAAAATTCTGATGCCTTGATCACAAAGTCAGGGTTACTGATCGATTCCTGTGTTCGCTCGCGCGAAAATGTCAAGGCAAAGATCAAGGGAGATTGGAATGCGGCCAACGACCAGACTGAGAAGATCAAAGCCACCACTGAAGTCGTCCATGGAGAGACCGTTCGCATTGTCGACGAGCAGATGTCCAACATGGACACTCAGCTTATCTCTCTCGATGAGATCGTATCTCGCATCCGTATTCAGAACGACACTCATCACACCGCCCACACAGCATCGCTCGCTCAACTCTCAAGCGATGTACAGCAATCGTACTCAAACATCGGGACTCATATGGAGACATCCTATACTCGCACCCAAGGACTCGACACCGATATGCAAAGCCGTACTGCAGATCTAGCATCTACTCTTCCCGAACTCAGCTCGTCTGGTGAAATCATTCAGACGTTGAACACTTTGCGTGATGAGATGAACGCCTCTGAGCTCACCGAATATGTTCCCACCGGTCAAACCCCAGCCAAGGTTGCCTACAGCTATCCTACCAACTTGCCACGAACTGCCAACCACGAATCTTTGCTCGAGCGGCTCCGTAATGGCAATACTTCAATCGAAGAAAGTCCTGTCAAAGAATCACAGATCCGTAGCAGTCCCAGAAAGCGAGAAGGTCATTCGCCCTCGAAGGGCATTGTTTACACAGACGGTCCTGCTACCGATGGCGTCAACGTTGTCTTGTCCGACGCGGTAGACTACAGTGATGCCGCCCGCAACCGTCCTCACAGTTTGCCTGGACAGGTCGGACTACGAGAGATCGATGTCAACGTCAATGCAGCTTCGTTGCCTCTCACTGCTGAGCACCCGGAATCCAGAATCGGTATGCTCAAGAGAGGCAACACCATGCCTCAACTGGATGCCAACGCCAAGGTCGACAGTAAGTTGCCTATGAAGCGACCAACTCGTATGACAGCTGGCTTGGTTGCCGAAGGCAGAGAAAACCTTGGACCTGCGGGTGGTGCAGGTAGCCGAAGATTGAGACCTCGTGGTAGTGACTGAGGTCGCGATTGGAAGTCTTTTGTCGTTGTTGATGTGGATACCTTCTACTGTACACACTTTTCGTATTGTTGTCTCCCTTTGGTTTTGTTGGACAAGTATCTGGGCTAGGGACAGGGATACTGGCGTTTAGGGATTGTTGTGCATTTCGTGGTGTCGGGATTGATTTGTTGCTGCCCAGTGGCATTGTCAATAAAGAATCTCATTTGTGATGCAAAGGATTTCCAGAATACAGTGCACGTTATTCTCTTGGGAGCGTCTTTGATGAGCCCATTGTTGTTGAGTATCAAAACTATGAGCGGCCAGACGGGCATGGCCGAAGAGGGACCAAAGAGGAAGTTGATAGGCGGGAGCGATAGCCGGCAGGTCCACTTTCAGGCCGAGCGATCCAATGGTGCAATTGTACAAGTACGGTGAGAAGCCCAGAGACGCTCTTTCCGCCAAAGCCAATCTTCTTCCTCTTCTTTCTGTCGATACTCCTGGAAAGGACTGACATGTCCCTCACGTCTTTGCTCTGTACATAAGGCGAAAGAACACGCACGCGACAGCAATCGTCATACAGCTTTCAATCTTATCTCCACTAAGCCCGATACCAAGTCCCCGAACCTAGGTATCCATCAATACATACGACATGCCCACCGAAGATGGAGCTCAGTCTGGGCAACCGAGCGAGACGTCGCCTTTGCTAGGAAAGCAAGGTCTGAAACCAATCGACCCCAGCGACGGTATCGCTCCCGACAGTGCCATTGCCAATGGAGTCATTGCAGAAGGAGAGGATGGCGGAGACCTCGAACGCCAGACCAGCCTGGAAGAAAGACAGAAACAGTACGAGGGACAGCCAGAGATGAGAAAGAAGATGAAAGTCATCTTTCCGGCATTGACAATCGGTGTTCTCCTTTCTGCTGCCGACCAGACCATTATCGTCTCCAGCTACGGCAAGATTGGTAGCGAGCTGAAGGCACTCAACAACGCTTCCTGGATCGCGACTGCCTATTTCCTGACTTTGACGAGTTTCCAACCACTATATGGAAAGATGTCGGATATATTTGGGAGAAAGAGCTGCTTGTTGTTCGCATATGCTGTCTTCGGTCTGGGCTGTCTGTTCTGCGGTCTTGCTCAGGATATGAACCAGCTCATTGCTGCAAGAGCCTTCGCAGGCATCGGTGGTGGTGGCATGACAACCGTAGTATCTATCCTGATGTCTGATATGGTACCTCTGAGGGAACGGGGTACTTATCAAGGATATGTCAATGTCATTTATGCCTTTGGAGCCGGTCTGGGCAGTGGTCTCGGGGGTATTCTCGCAGACTCGATTGGCTGGCGCTGGTCCTTCCTTGGTCAGGTACCGCTATGTGTGCTTGCATTTGTCGTTGTGAGTCTGGTGTTGAAGCTTCCCAAGAGGGACCAGACCGAATGGAAGCAGAAGCTGGGTCGTATCGACTTTTTGGGTGCTGCTATACTCATTGGTGCTGTCTTTACGCTCTTGCTCGCCCTCGATCGAGGAAGCAATGTCTCGTGGCAAGCAAACATCACCATCATCTCTATCAGTCTCAGCATTCCCCTCTTTATCCTCTTCGTTCTCGTCGAGATGAAGGTCGCGAAGGAACCTTTTGCACCGGGCCACATCATCTTTAATCGCTCGCTATTCGCCTGCTACCTCTGCAACTTCTTCTCCTTCTCTGGCTGGCTGGCTGCATTGTTCTACATTCCCCTCTACTTCCAGGCAGTGGATGGTCTCACTGCATCAGGTGCTGGACTTCGATTAATCCCTTCAATCTTCTGCGGTGTCAGTGGCAGTCTATTCGGCGGCTTTTACATGCAGCGTACGGGCAAGTTCTATTACCTGACTGTCATTGCATACACATGTCTGGTTATTGGCATGACCTTTGTCTTCCTCTTCTCAGGGTTTCTGATCAACAGCACTCCCGGGATCATCGTCGGCATGTGTATCTGCGGATTCAGCAACGGTATCGGCGTTACCTCTACCTTGATCGGTCTCATCGCCAATGCTTCCCGCGAAGATCAGGCCGTTGCCACCGCCTGCTCTTACCTCTTCCGCAGCTTGGGCTCTGTATTTGGTGTTTCCGTCTCTGCCACTCTTGCCAATCAAGCTCTTCGCGATCGCCTAGCAGCAGCGCTCAGCAATGGCGATGCTGCTGCCGAGATTACAGAGCGTGTTAGAGAGAGCTTGGCCTATATCAATACTCTGGAGCCTAATATAAGAGCGCTGGTCAGAGCGTGCTATGCGCAGAGTACGCGTGCTGCTTTTGGGCTGGAGATTGGGTTGGTAGCCGGAGCTGCCATCTCTGCTTGGTTTATCAAGGAAAAGGCTTTGAGTAGATAGACTTTTGGATAGATGGAGTGGAGTATGTCTCTGTGTGATTAGTGAGGATAGTCGACTGCAGAATGAAGAGCTAGGGTACGCATGTCGTTTGTTCATCTCTCACCTCCCTGTGTGCCATCATATATTACCAGTCTGGCCATCGAAATGCACAGTACCTTTGAACTCCTAGGCAGATTCCACCGAGAGATGAGGTTTTGTCGACTCTCCTTGGACTTGTCTTTAGTATGAACATTACTGTGTATTTACACAGCTCAACTATTGACCTGTGTTGCTGTGGGAGCTGCAAGTGGTAGGCACTAGCACATGGGGCTCAATTGCGTTACATACAATAGATTTGAACATCATACATCTCAAATAACCACACATAGTCATACAAGTTAGTTTTTAACTTCTTCAGCATCGCATCATACACTCGTCAACATTGCCCTCTTCCTAGGTGAAGATTCTTCCAATCCTCTCGGTAATATCTCCCAAACTTGCAATGCCCTTGACAGAGACTCTGGAAGCATGGGATGCACGATTCCATCTCCAGAGGGCCCAGCTAGCATATCCCATTGCAGGAATGAGCAATGCCACAATACCTGCCATGCCACCCAACAAAATGTTGCCTTGCTTCTGCGCCAGCTTTTCCACCTCCGAGTAGCGAACATTGCCGAAACTGACACGCGAGTACTGGGTTGCGAAACCTGCGGAGGGCAGATATACGTTCATCTTTTCTTCAATCCACTTGCGCAGGCGGTAGACGGGTGACACTACATCCGCACGCATCTCCTGGTAGTTGCGGAGGGCGAGGTCGTTGATGGCTGCTGCGTCGGGTGCGCGGTTACACGAGTACTCGTCGAGTGCCGAGGCACGACCGGATGCATCGTTGCCTTTTGCGTCTAGGTGTTCGAAGAGCACGCGGACGTCTTCGAGTCCGGCGTTCATGCCTTGGCCGTAGAAAGGGACCATGGCGTGTGCTGCGTCTCCCAGAATGACTGCAGAAGAGCCATAATGGTATGGTGAGCACTTGATGCTGATCAGTGGCAGATGCGGGTTTTCCTTGTATTGCTTCTGCAACTCGGCCTCGGGGATGAGTTTGCCTGCCACTCCTGGGAAGTTCTTGTTGAAGAAGTCTACCAAGGAAGAAGAATCCTTGTCCAGTTCAGCGAAGATCTTGGCGGGTAGGAAAAGTGTTGATGTAAAAGTCTTGTCCAAGGACGGGATGGCGATGAACATGAATTCGCCGCCGGGCCAGATGTGCAGGTGGTTGGGTGAGATTTGGTAGTCGTTCGTTGCTGAGGGTTCCATGTGGAATTCACACCATAGCGTCTCGATGTACTCCTGCTGATATGACATGCGCGTAAACTTCATCAGATGGTAGCGGACAGATGAATGAGCACCGTCTGCGCCAATCATGAAATCAAATGTCACTTCAATCTCGGTAGAAGCATGAGGCGTGTCTTTTCCTTGGGTGGGGTTCTGAGCGTGGTCTTGTCGCACACCCTCGTCACGCCTCTCGAACCAGGCCTTGTTCTTTTTGTAATCGGCACCTACCAATTTGTGGTTGAACAGCAGCTTGACATTTGGCATCTTGTCTAGCTCGTCAAGAAGACGCTTGTTGAGGCCTGCTCTATCAACTGCACGGATAGCCNNTACAAATAGCGTCAGTGATGTTCTGATGGACACAGAAAGACCAGTAAAAAGTACCCGTCCATAGATATCGTAGTTTTGAGATTCTTCATAGACCTCTCCTTGCTTTGCACCATGAATCATGCGGCCATGCATGGGGATAGTCTCTTCCAGCACGGATTCGATCAGGCCGGGAACATTGGCATTTCTGAGCCCGTTGATTCCTCGCTCTGATAGAGCCAAGTTGATGGATTTGGTAAAGTTGAGTGGAACAGTAGAAGGGTCCCTGAGATCTNNAGTCTGCGTCAGCCATATTCTCTCGATCGTCCAACACCCAAGTTTATAAGACTGGAGCTCAGAGTATAGGGGGAAAAGACATTATAAAGGTCAAGACATACCTCCTCTTAGTTCATAGACCTCTACCTCATGGCCACGGCCAGCAGCGTAAAGTGCAGCAAGAGCACCGACGGGACCAGCACCAACAATGACAGTCTTTTGCGTTGACATGGTTGTTTAGAACAGCAGAACTGAAGTCAACAGCATATATCAATATCGAAGAAATTGGGTCTCTATGAGTAGGCAGGCGGATATGCATGGCATCATCGAAAGGGCGCGAAGGGTGCACGGCCCGGCAGCCGGGGCGGAACAACGGCGCCGGGCGGAGCAAAGTGCAGGGCCGTGTTTGTCAGACAGCAAAAAAGTGGAGGGGCACTCTAGAAGATCTGCATACTCAGTCATCCTCGACTCGGCGCGACTCGACAGCAGTAATAAGACAAGCGCAGTCCAAGACAGCTGAGAAAGCATCTGGACGACAGGGCACAAAGCAACATGGCCAGCGAAGACAAGCGCGTGTGCGAGGGCGCAGACTGCAGCAACGAGGCAGGCACGCTGCAGTGCCCGACCTGCCAGAAGCAGGGAATGACCAGCTTCTTCTGCAGCAACGACTGCTTCAAGCGCAACTGGGTATGTAAGTCACCACCAACCAGCAGCCCGCCGACATGGCCACTGACACGCGCCAGANGCGAGCACAAGAAGAAGCACAAGCCCACGAGTAACCCTCTCCGCTCCCTGTTTGCTCCCAAAGTCATTTCTGAACCTGACCCAGCAACCGGCACCCACAACCCCTTCCCGGCCTTCCAATACACCGGCGACCTCAGGCCCGTCTACCCTCTGTCGCCCAAGCGCAAGGTTCCCGAACACATCCCGCGCCCCGACTACGCCAAAGATGGCATCCCACGCTCCGAGCAGGTCTTTGCCGGCCGCAACAAGATCACCATCCTCGACAAGAAACAGCAAGAAGGCATGCGCAAGGTCTGCAGACTAGCACGTGAAGTCCTGGACATCGCCGCTCGTGCCGCTAAGCCCGGCGTCACTACCGACTACATCGACGAGGTCGTCCACAATGCTTGTGTCGAGAGAGATGTAAGACACTCAGCAATATTCAATCTGTCGCGCTGAGCTGACCCGTTACAGTCATACCCCTCGCCCTTGAACTACTGCAACTTCCCCAAGTCCGTCTGCACCTCGGTCAACGAGTCCATCTGCCACGGCATCCCCGATCAGCGTGTCCTCAAGGACGGAGACATCATCAACATCGACGTCACCCTGTACCACGGCGGCTTCCACGGCGACATCAACGAGACTTACTATGTCGGCGACAAGGCTCTGGCCGACCCCGATTCGGTGCGCGTCGTCGAGACTGCCCGCGAGTGTCTGGACGAGGCCATCAAGATCGCAAAGCCCAACACGCTATTCAGAGAATACGGCCCCGTCATCGCAAAACACGCCGAGGACAGAGGTTGCAGCACTGTCAAGACCTACTGCGGCCACGGAATCAACACTCTGTTCCACTGCGCTCCCAATGTCCCTCACTACGCAAAGAACAAGGCCATCGGCATGGCCAAGCCCGGCATGTGTTTCACCATCGAGCCCATGATCTGCCTTGGAACCCACAAGGACCGAACATGGCCCGACAACTGGACCAGTGTCACTGTTGATGGCAAGCGCTCTGCTCAGTTTGAACACACTCTTCTCGTGACAGAGACCGGTATTGAAGTCCTGACTGCACGCCTGCCCGACTCACCTGGTGGTCCCATCGCCTGGCCTGGAACAGCAAATGGCCTCCCAGCGGCAGCATAGGGCTCGAGCCACGTCTTGAGTTCTTGGGAACATGTTTTGGATGAAAAGCATTAGCATGGTGTATTTTGGGGAAACATGCATGTCTTTACTTGGTCAAAACGGAGGAATGTTATGCAGGCACTACATCATGAAGAATAGCCTATGTTGTTGTAGTATACCCCTGCGCTATCCATGATATTTCCAGCACGCCATTTCAGAGCGTGCACGCAGCCCTGAGTATAAACTGCGACCATGATGTTGTGCCTTGAAGAAGCGTTATTCACAACCGTTTAATCCTTGTGTTTGTGTAGACTCAAAAAGCTCTCAGTGGGCAGAAGCCAACTTTAAAAGTACCCCGTGACTTTTTATAGTAAACTATGATGATTGAATTTGTGTTTGGAGAGATGGAAGAAGAAGGATACAAAGAAAGGACATCCAGGCGCACTTTTACAGTTTGAGGGGTTTATCATAACTATACTTTGGATTTTTTTTCATTGCTGTTCTTCATTCTCTGGCACTAGTTACAGTACATGCATTCTGGTGCCTTGTTCTTACTCTCTCTCTCTCTCTTTGCTTTCTTTACTTCCAATTCTCGTATCTGTTGTCGTGCACAGAACAAACTCCATCACCGTTTCCCGTGTCCTGAGCTCAGTGGCACAGTGTATGCTCATGCGTAGTAGCAAAGTACACAAAGTCTAGCGCTTCATGGGCGAAGGAAGCAGACTGGAAGCCTTCTGGGGCTGCTTTTCGGGGGCAGAGGAGGCGGGAAGGGGCTGGTCAACCAACTGACGAGCACCGGGTTGCTGAGCAGTGACTTGCTCAGGGGCAGTCTGCTGGGCACCAAATTTCACGGGGCCGGGTTGCTGAGCAAGGAATTGCTGGGGACCAACTTGTTCAGCGTTGGTCTGTTGGACAACAGGTTGCTGAAATGCAGGGTGTTGAGTGGTAGGCTGCTGGCCACCAGAGAAGGTGCGTTGACCGGGCTGTTGCTGAGCATAATCTGGGTTCTGGATGAGATCGCCCACACCCTTGTTTCTCAGAATGCCCATCAAAGACTGAGCGACAAGACCATCAAACTCCTTGGGTGGATTGGCAAACATGTAACGCATCTGTTGAGTGGTCTCGTGCAACATGACGGCACGCATCGATTCTTGGAATGTGGTCATCACGCGAGTGTTCTGCAGTTGACGGATGTACTCGATTTCCTGCTGGTAGTGGTTGATGACACTGAGCTCGCTCATGTTGCTGTGCGTGAGCATGTGAGTGGTCAAGTTGCGTAGGCGCTGGTGGTTGGGTGGACCAGGGGCCTGGGCGATGGAGTCGGGGTGAGAAGCGTAAAAGGCTCCGCTGGATGTCTGGACGGGTCTGTATTGGACTTGTGGCTGAGTGGCGAACATGGGTTGGCCAGCAACAGGGTAGATGCGACCATAGCTTTGGCCTTGCATGTGTCCAGCTTGAGGGTTCATCTGGGGACCCATGCTGCCGGAAGCGAGACCCATGTTGCTGGTGGGACGCTGGCCGTTGTTCGGCATCTGCTGAGCATAGCCTGCGATTCCCTGGCCATTGGGATTCATATGTGCACTGGCAGCCCTTGCGAGTCCTTGCACCTGCTGCTGGTACTGTGCTTGATACTGTTGTTGAGCCAGCCTGGACACGTTAGTTTGTGACAATCAACATATTTCAGCTAGGAGAAACACTTACATAGGCATCTGAGGAAAGGGTACAGCAGGGTTGTTCATGGGAGCTGCAGGTGGAGGCCCCATGGATGTGGCCTGTTTAGCACGCTTGGCTGAAGGAGGACCTGATTTGGGTCCCACTGGTTTGAAGGAAGCCGCATGGCCCTTCATAGGACTCTTCNNTTAGCTCTGGCAGAAGGCTTAGCACGGAGACGAAGAGGTGCTGGTGTTGGGTCGTTGTCATCGTTGTCCTTTGCAACGAAAGGGTCAGAAGGTGCCTTGGTCTGGGATCTGGTCTTCATCTTGGACTTTCCGCTCTTGCTCTGATCTTCTNTCTTCAGAAGACTCATCCTCATCAGAAGACTTGTTCTCGTTGTCATCAGAGTCTTCTTCTTCTTCTTCTTCATCAGCAGACTCGTCTTCGTTGTTGTCAGAGCCTTCACCCTCTTCACTGTCGCTCTCCTCGACCTCCGTGTGCTTGCGCTTAACAGTTGTGGGATTCACATGGCTAGGTTCTGTCAGTTGTTGATAACCCAATGTGCTTTCAGACTCTGGTACTCACGGCTTAGGAGGTCGAGGGCTCACTATGATAGGCAGACCCTGGTCGCGGGCGTGCACATCCCTGACGTGGCCACGCAGCTCCCAAGGGTGCAGATATGGCTTCTTCGCATCAGGTCCAGCACAATAGCCGCAGAAGATCTCGCATTTGGAGATGACAAGAGTGCCTTCCTTGGGCCAGTCGTGTTCGTGTGTCTCGTCCCTGCAAGGCATGGTGTTGATGACTTGTTGTAGACAGAGTTGATTTCGGGGATGAGGAAAGGTGAGTGTTGAGGTTAAGGTTTGGAAAGCCCGACGCTCCTCTATATGTGACGATTGCGATTGCGCGCAAGTGAACGCCTACACTGTCGACCAGCCTGTTCCGGACTCCGTCGAGAGATTCCTCGAAGGGACAGGTGCTCCTCAAAGTTTACGGTATAGACTGGTCGAGTCCAGGCCGAAGAAGCGTCTGTATCAAAGAGCCTTTGCAATAGAACGGACAATATCTTGTGCGCAATTGTGCAAACGACCCCAGGTTCGAGTTGTAACCTCAAGACAGCACCACTGCCTACCTTGCTATATCGAGTATTATGTTGAGCGACGCAGCTCGAGGGCTTCCTTGTTTCGAGCTGAGGACGACAGTACGACGACACTGACATCAAGCACCACTAACAGCTTCTCTAGGCCATAATACCTATTGACATGCGACCTCGTGGAATCTCATATGAGCAGGCATAGCGAAAGAGGGCACTGGCATGCCACAAACACCACATCTTTCGTCGTTCTCGTCGTCTTCTTCCAACCAACCGTTGTCTTCCGCTTCGATAGTCAGATCAGGAACAGGAGATGCAAGGTCTTCTATGCTCATCTGTCGGACTGGCTCTACCAGGGGTATTGCTTGCTCGTCAGCATAGGCAGTAAACTCCTTGTGGACACTTTCTTGACGCTTGAACATGCTGCTGATATCGCGACCGTTAGCCGTCTTGCTCTCGCCACCTGCTTCTGCCATGTTTGTCACGGCAAGATTGACCAGACTCAGGTTCCATCCAGCTTTTTCTGGATGCAGCTTTCTGAACATGCCTATGAGCGTATCATGGACAAGTCTTTCTGCGAGTGTGTCAATGTTGTCTGTCAAAGAAAGCATATAATTTGGCAATGGCGCAGAATGAGAGATCCGCTTGAAGCTTCGAGAACGGGTACCATCGGGATTGAGCGGCAGACGAGGTCTGGTAGACAAGCGGATGGTTTTGGGATGAGCCAGCCATTTCTCTGTTGATCTGGTTTTCGCTGTCTTTGACCTCACAAACAACTCAGTCTCGATCGGCATGTATCCATCTCTGAAATCAGCAGCATCCCTTCCAGCAACCAGGTCTTGCTCGGGCTCATTATACCGTGGAGTTTCATCGAATGTATCATCATCAGAAGTGACGAGATCGATCCGCATTCGTTCTATGAGGCTGCAGCTTAGCTTCTTGAGTTGCTTTATTACCTCAGGCAGTGTGTCGAGGCGAATGTAGCTGTCCTCAATGCTGATCTGACTGGGCACAGCCTTCGCAAAATTCACCTCCGAGTCGTCGATGCCATGCAAGAGTGCCCAGATCTTGGTGCCAATACCATGAGGAGAGCCAGGTCCAGCCAGTACCCTCTCCAGTGTGTCGGCACTCATGTTGTCCGCAAGACGAACTTCTTCCACGGTCACCTGCTCCTTGGTCTCTCCATAGACAAGACCTTTTTCAAAGTCTGGTTCATGCTGCAGGATATGTCGGCGTATCTTTTGGGCAAGCTTAGAACCAATACCAGGTATCTTACCAATCTCATAACCATCGAGAAAAGATTCGACGTTGCTTGTTCCTCCATCTCGACAAGAATATGGAGGTACAAGCGTCGTTTGACTTTTCGGTTTATGCAGATTGCCAACCAGCTTGGATAGCAGCTTGGAGGAGGATATGCCAACGGTCGACGTATATCCTGTTTTTCTCCCAAGCTCATTGCGAAGGTGAGATGCCAGATGTGAGCCTAGCCTTAGCCTCAGAGACAACAGCTCATCATTCGTGGAAGCATTATCTGGCGATGTGGGACCCGCGTAGCAGGTAGCGTCGAAAGCAAACCCCTGGGTAGGATCATCCTTCTGCAGCACAAAGAATGACTGGACCAAATCATGCGGGTTCAACAAAGAGATGTTGTACTCAATCATGTCGGTGACATCCAGCCACACNCTGCCAAACATTGAGCCCATCAGTAAGAGCTATAGCCACGCCGACAAAGTGTTTACCTCATCAAATCCTAATCTCTCTGCTCTGTCATTCCAGGAAAAGCTCTGAAGGAACTGATACAGCATCTTGCTGGCATCTCGGAAACGACTGATATCTTCGCCGAGTACGATGATTACATCAGGACATATTTCTTTGGCATCCTTGATGAGTTGTAGTTTGCGCAAGCCCCTCCGCCGGGCTTCGTAATTGCAAGTGACNCTGCGCGTCTTCTGGTCAGTGTCTTTTTGCACTCCTCGAGATCACGACACAGGGATGTGTATTGGCAGATGTACAATGATTTGCTTTTGCTGTACGGCTAGAGGTTTCTCCTTCAAGGCTGGATTCTCAGCTTCAACGACGGAAGCATAAAAGCAGTCATCTTAGACGGCGGCAGTGTCAGCAAGCTGCATGTTCCATGTTGTTCTATGCAGGTCGTGTACCTACAGNTCAAAATGTAGTATCACCCTATCATCTTTCCTGGTGAGTAGGGTCTGGTGTTTGATAGGCAGCACAACAACATCCTCGCCCTTACTCATGGCACCGATATTTGGCACATCAAAGATGAAGCCCTATGAATGCTCTCTCAGCCTCTCTGACTCTCTTGAAAAGATTGTGGAGGCAGGAACGTCCGTGCGTCTAACGCCAAGCTCCCACTTCCCCGATGCTCCCCGCTCCCATCCCATCTCGTTGAAACTACTCGATCATCCGACTCCAGGCTAGAACGGCCTTCGAGAAAGGGTGCAGTCGTCGAATGTCACGGCCTATGCAAAGCCGGCAATAAGCACTGCAGCTCTTTACTGAGGATGCAGAGGAAACCATCAACGAGGTACATGCGCCGGCCAATTTGCCAGGGCGTGCAAGATGCCCGTTTCTTTAGACTCTCGGGGGCACATGCGCATTGCGCTAGAATGGCCTAACTTTGGGGGTGTTGCACGCCACGCCGTTCCTCGCGCGGGAATATTTGTATGCTGTTCGTTCCCTACCTCTCACGACATTGTTCCTCTCGCGTTCTACTGTTTTGGTCTTCGTTTCTTAACCCTTGACTTCCGGTCCTTCTTTAACTCTCTACTCCTGTCATTCTCTTCTCTACCTCGAGATCCATGTGCTCGTTGTGCGCTACATTCTGTTGACGTGTCAGTCATGGCTGAGCCGTTCAAGTAGGATTCCCGCGGCCCTATGATATACGTGCGGTTGGCTGACCTTTTTACAGAACAGAACATATCATGATGCAAGATCTCAACGATGTGATTCAGCTAGGAGACAAACCTGCAGATAAGATGAACCGGTACGAGCTAATCACTATAACGTATTCGATTCGATTGCTGAGTACATCACAGTCGAATGTCGGCTTCTCTGCGCGAGCGACGAGGCTCGAGTTCAACAGAATCGGAACCGGATGCAAACCTCATTCTGGACAGAGCCCGAGCTGCACTTGAAGAAGAGCATTCCATGACATTATGGTCAGCCATGAAAATGTACCCAAAAGCCATAGGCTGGTCTGTACTGGCATCAACATGTATCGTCATGGAAGGCTATGACTTGGTGGTCGGTTCAGGGACATGCTGTTTTCAAAACCAAAGCTAACGTCTCCCAGGCCNNATCTTCAGTTTCTTTGCCTTTCCGGCCTTCACCAAAAAGTATGGTCATCTCACCGCAGATGGAACCTATCAAGTCACCGCGGCGTGGCAGACAGGTCTCACTAATGGCACTTGTATTGGCGAGATGATTGGCCTTGCCTTGACCGGTATCTTTGCAGACAAGTATGGCCAGCGATGGACGATCATCGGCGCTTTGGCTCTTGTGGTGAGTGCATGTTGTCTTCTGATCAATGCTTAGCACGGCTGATCATGATCTAGANCATGCTTTATCTTTATAACCTTCTTCTCTCCTAATATCCATGTTCTTCTTGTTGGACAAATACTCTGCGGTATACCTTGGTAAGTGGTCGGTAGCTGGAGACCTACTTGTGCTTTGCTAACGCACCTGTCAGGGNGCGTATTCCAGACCATCACTCCCTCTTACGCTGCAGAGGTGGTTCCGATGGAGTTGCGACCATACCTTACTTGTTACGTAAACCTTTGTTGGGTTTGTACAACGCTCACAATTAGAACCACAGTTCAAGACTGACAAGAAATAGNNGTCATGGGCCAGATAATAGGCTCAGGAGTACTCCGAGCGCTCGTTGACCGAACGGATCAATGGGGATACAGAATACCGTATGCTTTGCAATGGATATGGCCAGTCCCACTCGCCGTGGCCATGTTCCTAGCGCCAGAAAGTCCTTGGTGGCTTGTCCGACAAGGTCGCATCGAGGAAGCGGAAAGATCAGTGAACCGACTGATGAGCAAGCAAGGTCAAGAGGCGGCATTTGACAGTCAAAAAGCAGTGGCAGCCATGATACACACCAACGAGATGGAGAAACACATCACGGTGGGCACATCGTACGTGGACTGCTTCAAGGGCATTGAGCTCCGTCGAACGGAAATCTGCTGCATGGTCTGGATGATTCAAATTCTTTGTGGAGGAGGCATCATGGCGTTCTCGTCGTACTTTTTCGAACGCGCTGGACTGAATACGGCTTACTCTTTCGACCTCACGATGGCACAATACGGACTGGGCGCTGTCGGAGTATTCATTGCATGGGCTCTGATACCCTGGGTCGGACGACGAACGCTGTTTCTTGTGGGACAAGTCTTGATGATGGTCCTCCTGCTCATTATCGGATTTATCGGCGTAGGACACAAGAGCCAAGCATCGTCTTGGGCAGTCGGAGCGTTGCTTCTGGTTTACGTCTTTGTATACGACATTACAGTCGGACCACTGACCTACTCGTTCGTCTCGGAGATATCTTCGACAAGATTACGGCAGAAGACAATGGTGCTAGCACGCAACGCATACCTGGTGGCAAACATTGTCAACAACGTGCTAACACCTCACATGCTAAATCCAACATCATGGAACTGGGGTCCGAAGACAGGACTGTTCTGGGCAGGAGTGTGTTTCTTGACAATAGTCTGGGCATACTATCGGCTGCCTGAACCCAAAGGGCGGACTTGTGCAGAGTTGGATGATCTGTTCGAGCGTAAGATTCCAGCTCGGCAGTTTGCTAGTACAGTAGCGAATCCATTCGACAATGGTCGACGGCATGGGTCGGTCGAGGCAGGCTCGAGAAGGCAAGAGTAACGAAAGGTGGAAGCGAACTGAGGCATTGGCTGATGTATGTTACGACACGATTATGAATTGGTATATGAAGCGACTAGGCATTTCGGGTATGGACAGGATTCGCTTGTGCAAGTAGTATGTTTCCAATGAACACATCAGACTTTCGCAAGCATGTCCGGATTAGGAAGGGGTTGCGTTGGAGATGGACCCTGAAGGGCACGAGGCGATGACGGATGGTTCGACAAGCGGGGTCCGACCATGGAAGTTGACCATGATTTATCCCATCGCTCCTTCCTACAACATGGTTCTCTGACTATCTGATTCAAAGGTGGCGACAATCATGGCACCTAGTATTACCCAAGTGCTCGATATCCGCACGCCGGCTGCGAGACGACAGCTCGCAAAGACAAGCGTCGATCTGTATGTCGACTGAAGCCTGTACTCTTTTGACAAGCACTAACAACTGCTACACCAGACTANNCGCAACATTCTCTTCTTGTTGTTCCTCGTACGATACTCACGAGTCGCTCTGATCCATCTCTATGGCTATGGACCCGTCGCCAGCGCAAAGATGGGCTACGCCGCCCTCCGCAAGTCCCTCTACCACACCTTCCTAAGGCTGCCAGGCGTACGCGGCAAAGTCCAAGCCGAGATCAGGCAGACGTTGGGCGAACTAGAAAAGAAACTTGTACCCTCTGGTCCTGGCATCACGAGATACACAGCGCTGCCTGCCTCAGGATGGAGTCCCGAGCAGGTGCGCGCCGAGCTGGAGAAGTTGCATGAGATGGAACACACACGCTGGGAGGATGGTAGGGTCTCGGGTGCTGTATACCATGGCGGCAAAGAGCTCCAGGAACTCCAGATGGAAGCCTTTGGCAAGTTCGGTGTCGCCAATCCTATCCATCCGGATGTCTTCCCTGGAGTGAGAAAGATGGAGGCCGAGGTAGTGGCAATGGTCTTGGGCATGTTCAACGCACCTGCCGATGCTGCAGGTGTCACGACCAGCGGAGGCACAGAATCCATCATCATGGCCGTCCTCAGCGCCAGAGAAAAGGCTCGCATTGAACGTGGTGTCACCAAGCCAGAGATCATCCTGCCCGAAACAGCGCACACTGCCTTCCGCAAGGCAGCCGCCTACTTCAAGATCACCGTCCACTACGTACCTTGCCCGGCACCAACCTACAAAGCCTCTGTCGCACACGTCTCTCGCCTTCTGAACAGCAACACTATCCTCCTTGTTGGCTCTGCCCCAAACTTCCCCCACGGTATCATCGACGACATTCCTGGTTTGTCTCGCCTTGCTCTCCGCAGAAACATCCCTCTCCACGTCGACTGCTGTCTCGGCAGCTTCCTCGTTCCTTTCCTCGACCGTGCAGGCTACGACTCTGAGCCATTTGACTTCCGTGTCAAGGGCGTAACCTCCATTTCATGCGACACCCACAAGTACGGCTTTGCTCCAAAGGGAAACAGCACATTACTTTACCGCTCTGCTGCCTTGCGCAAATACCAATACTTTATCAGTCCTGATTGGAGTGGAGGCGTCTATGCTTCGCCCTCGATGGCTGGCTCGAGGCCTGGCGCGCTGATTGCGGGTTGTTGGGCTAGCATGATGAGCGTAGGTGAACAAGGCTACATTACATCTTGCCACAGCATTGTTGGCGCAGCAAAGAAGTTGGCAGAAGGCCTTCGCAGCCGAGACACCTTGCGCAACGATCTTTTCATCCTCGGCAAGCCTTTGGTCAGCGTTGTCGCCTTCTCCTCTGACACCCTCGATATCTACAACATTGCTGATGGTATGAGTGGTAAGGGCTGGCATCTGAATGCTTTGCAATCTCCCGCTGCCATCCACGTTGCTGTTACCTTGCCCATCGTGCCCGTGGTGGAGGACTTGCTTAATGACCTCGAAGCATGTGTCGAAGAGGAAAGAGAAAAGCAACGACAAGCTGCCGTGGATGGCAAGAGCAAGCCTCTCAAANAGGGAGACGCGGCTGCTCTTTACGGAGTCGCTGGTGCTTTGCCAGATAAGAGTATTGTCGAAGACTTGGCTGCTGGCTTCTTGGATTGTCTTTACAAGGCCTGATACAGCAATTCTTCTTGACGAGGGAGTGGGAACAATAGGAGGTCTCGGTACTGTTTTGCATGGTGTTTTTGGCGAGCTATCACATTGCTATAGGTGTCTTTAAGTCATTCAATTCTCTTCTCTCCAATTGCATGAAACATACAAGCGTCAAATGAGCATTTGGGCTCGTCCTGTCTAAGGGAAGATATCATACAGTCGTCAGAATCAACTTAGAACCAACCNCCGCTGCTGATATTGCCATTACCCCAACTACCAGACCAATTTACAGATTGGCCGGCTGTGGGATCCACAACTGCAGCATTGTCCTCGAGCCCAAATTGACGCACCAGCTGATCCCAGTTTTGCCAATCGATGTCTGCCGCAGGGTCAAACGGCGAGAATCCCGGCGGTGTCGTGTTATTGTTGTTGTTCAAGTTCATGTTGACATCGCCGTTGGGTGTTTGTTGGTTTGCCGCTTGCAAATTATTCGTCGCTGTTGCTTGAGGAGAAGGTCCTTGGTACGGCGCACCATTAAAAGAGCCATAGCCGCGTTGCGAAGAGTTGTTTGCAGATACTTGCATGGGAATTGTGGTTTGATCTATGCTTTTTGTTGTTTCTGGTGCCAATAGTGAGATATCCATTGGATCGTCACCGAGGACCACGGCTCCTATGCTTTTTGGCGAGTTCATGAGTTCTGTCGAGTCTAGTGGTTGGGTGCCGTATGCAGCAGGGCGCATGAAGCGAGACAGCTGTGCTGCACTCAGCGGTGCTCTGACCATGCGTGGTTGAGGCAGCACTGGAGACATTCCTGGCGGTGTCGCTTGCTTGATCGCTTCGTCTTTCCTAATGGCTTGCAGTCTCGCCATTCGAGCCTTGGCCAGAAGTTTCATTAGTGGTCTCCATAAGTGGCCGCTGCGTGATTCTTCCTTGGGAGCTGCTTCTTTCCAGCTGGCCTGTATACATTTCTCGACCGAGGACCATGCTCGATTAACAAGGTCACCACTCGTACGATGGCAGAGTTCGCCAAGCAGAAAAGCTAAGGCGTGCCATTGCATGTACGTCTTGAAGAGCCAACTCCACTTTTCAGTACGAGACTCGGTCTCCATGAGTAGTGAATACTCGATATTCTCGAGACTTGTGATGAACAGCTTCTCTCTAGTTTCTTCGGAGAGACTTTTGCCGCCATTTTGTCTCTGATAGGGATGATAGNNCTTCAACATTGTTAGTTGTATGGTTGATCTTTCTCTCACAGACACTCACATCATCAGCCACATCTTGCTCATCATCAGGCGAGCCACCGTGGCGGTGACCCAGTACAGTGGAACCGACATATCCACGTGTCGGAGATATCGTTCTTCGAGCCTCTTGTGGCATTCGTTGATCCATCGCTCCTTATCCTCAAGTGTGACTGACGCAAAGAAGTCGCCGCATTGTCTCGGTTCACCAGGAGGGATGTAGTTTAGGCGGCGGAATGTGTTAGCGACTTCGAATCGGATGAGGCAGAACGACATGTCTGTACAGCCTTGCCGCTCGTCAGGCAGCTTGGTCATAGCAGGATACAGATCTTCATCGTTGATGTTGAGTGGCATCTTGGTGTCGAAGGCTTGCTCNGGCTAATGCAACCATTTAGCGCTTGAGACCAATATAGCAGTGGGAGATGTGAACTTACTGATAGTGGGATCGCTTCCATGATCCTCAGAAGCGCGTACATCTAGGATACATATCTGCCACCATAGACGCCTTCGCATTTCAATTTCGAATGGAGGGAGATTGAAATGTAGGCCATCTCGATGCACACCAAGAGTCTGAGCGATTCGGACGACAAGACCAGTCAGTGTCCAGATGACGCGGGCATCGTTGTTTCTGCGCAAACATATCAAGAAAATCACGATTGCTTGTACCACCATCATCTCCTCTGTGGTAAGGAAGTTGGCCCTTGCAAGAGCTTGCTCAACACCAAATCGATAGCGTGACAGAAGAAGGCCCTTCTCCTCACCCAACTTGTTGAGGCAATCGTCTTCGGAAAGACTGGTGGTAGCGCCATAGTATATTGCAAAGAGCAGGGCCTCGAAACTTTTGGACAGATTGGCGAGGTGGGAAGCAGATGCCAAAACGGTAGGCTCGATGGTAGGTATGTGAAGGACTTTGACAAGAGGGTCCACGCGCTCCTTGTAGACATTCCAGTATGCTTCGATCTGGCCAGCAATAGGATGCAGAGATAAGAGATCGACATTTTGCGAGCTGAAACTAAAGATCCAGCCATGATGCTGATCGGGCTGGGACTGGACTGGAGAAGGGTCGTCGGCCTCGTCGTCAGTGTCACGATTCATTATACCTTTCAGATCCTCAACTTCGTTGCTGAGGTTGGCCCAGAAGGAGTTGTTTACATATCTCGACCGACCTTCGTTGATGACCAGGCGGCCAAATCTGGTTTCGAACTTGGCACTGCGAGACTCGTCTACGTATTGGTTTTTTGCTGCCCATTGCTCATCTTCGTTGCCGTGTTTGTTACTATGTGTAGGGTCGGGAGGGTTTGGGCATGTAAGGGCTGTATGGAATGTCGCGTCGTCAAGCCCAGGTATGCCTCTGTCAGAAGGGCCAGCTTCTACGTGAGAGTCGGGCGGTGGATCGGGAAACGAATCAGGATTCGTAATATCTACGCCGAGGCCTTTGACAACGCCTTCGAGACGGCGCAGTCTATCGAGTAGTTCGGCATCGCGTGAGTCGCTGACTTTGCGAGGTTTACGGGGCGCTCTGCCTGGGGTGGGAAAGATACATTCAATGTGGGCGCGAGCGCAGTTGGAGCAAGGGTGCAGTTTGTCGCATTTGACCTTGCGCTTCCGGCAGGTTACGCATGAGCGTGGATTTAGAAGGCGGCCATGAGCATCCCGTAGCGGTGTTGGAGCCGGTCCCGAAGCTATGGATGACGATGACTGGGCCGTAGGCAGCGCAGGCGGCAGCGACGACGGCTGAGCCGAGACGGAGGGTAGACGCGATTGACCGGGCAGCGAGATCGGGTGCGACTGCGTTGGAGAGGGCCCCGGGTTATTGGACATGCTGCCAAAAGATGGTGGTTTGGGCATTCACAGCAGGCGCCTACGGATCAACCACCAAAGACCGAAGACCCCGATTGAGAATCCACTGACGCTTCGACCAGTGCGGGGTGCACACGCTCGAGCGTTTCCTGTCTGCCACCGCTCCAGATCGAGGGACCTCGACCCTGTAAGTTCTCGGTCACTCGCAGAAAGAGGGACATGTGAGCGATAGAAGCAGAAATGTCCAAGTACGATTGACAGAATGAGTGCTTCCGTTGGAAACTCCACTTACGCTCCTTCTCCAAAGTAATGTGCGACTTTGTCCAGATGCGTTGCAAACTTCGACTTTAGCACGCGGGGAAGGGCTTCGCGGCTCTAAGTTAAGCATACGGAGATACACTTCTCGCAGACATTATTACTTCAGCCCTTGCTTGGAGACGGACCCGTACTTTCACTGTCTCGCCCATCCGGCCAAAGAGGGATTCTCCAGCAGGCCAGTGAACAGGAACTGTCAAGGTTGCACGTCAGGAAGGAGCAAGACTGATGAAACTGGGCGTGGATCCCTGTCGATCTGACAATGACTCGCGCGCTTGGAATATGTCATGGATCCGGTCAGCCCTCGTCCGCTGCCAACGGGAAGTAAGGTAACTCGTACCGTTCCGCACCTGCCGCCGTTCTTTTTTCCTATGATGCCTATGGGCGAGTGTCTCGTCGTGTTTCTGGACAGCAGGGAAGAGCTGGTGTCAAGCAGTCGGAAGTCGAAGCTGGGGGTCGATACCGGAGACATGGTCGTTCGGTGCATCGCGCTAGACGTCCAAGGCGGTGAGAATAGAAGCTCTAGAAAGACGGTGACGAGCTGGCGTTTCATGAGCAGCGAACCTACGCACTACCGCAGAGCATACAGTAATAGAATGCCATCTGATGCCAAAGCGTGTGCTGCTCGCGTCATAGTCCAGGACAGACAGCCCCGTGTGCTTCAGGAGTCGTCAAGCGGTGCATGTTGTTAGCAGCTGGCAAGTCAGTGGTTCTGTTCGAGGTGGATTGATTCAGGTGAACATTTGCTTGCTTGTTTCAACGCTGCTCCACCACGGGCATCCGCAACACGCAACAGCATTTGACCTCGTCCCTCTACACCGCCATCATCCCCCCCGCCGACCGTGCCCGTGCGCCGTCGAGCTCTCTCAATTTCTTTCCAGGCTCTCACGTACCAAAGTACCTACTGTGCATCGCGTACTACCTTGAGCACGCGTGCTCGTCTCCTGCTTCCCTCCCCCCCTCGTCGACGAGTGCCAGTGCCTGACCTGAACAATGCGTCGGCACCAACCTCCGTCCGCTCTGCCCTCCAACGATCCCCTTTCGCTGCTTCGCGCATACGACCACGAATCCAATCCCAGTCGCCCAGTTCGCTCCTCGCCGCTGACGGCCTCGACCATCCATGGTTTACCACTCGAGCTGACCGATCGCCTGCGCTCCTTTCCACTCTTCGCTTCGGCTCCAGACTCGTTCCTCGCCGCCATTGGCAAGTTCCTGCGCCCGCAGCTCTTCCAGCCACATGAATATATTCTCACAGAAGGCGACGACGCCAAAGCCATGTACTGGCTGGTCCGCGGTTCGCTAAGAGTCACGTCAAGAGATGGAGAAAGCACATACGCAGAGCTCAAGCCGGGCGCCTTCTTTGGTGAAATTGGCATTCTGATGGACATTCCGCGCACCGCCACCATCATTGCTCAATTGCGCTCGCTGGTCCTAAAGCTCAACAAGGAGGACCTGCAGAAGGTCCTTCCAGCCTTTCCCACAGTCGAGCGAGCCATACGCGACGAGGCCACCGAACGTCTGTCCATCCTCGAACGCTTGAAGAAGGAACGCGTCACATTGCCCGCTACTTCGGGCTTGCGCAAGCGATCGCGTGACTTTATCGAGCGCGATGTCGATATGCAAGATGTAGGGCCACAGGACGATAGTAACAAGCGTCGCAAATCTCCTAGCCCCAGTCTTGCAGAGGCAGCCGCCAATAGTGCTCTGGGAAATGCCAACTTGACCGTCCGCCAGATTCTGCAAGAGCTGCCTCTGTTTGCGGGACTCCCTGCCGAGATTCTACATTTTCTAGGCGTCAACGCCCAGCCTTGTTCCTTCGGTCCATTTGTGGATATCATTACCCAAGGCTCGCAAGGCCGCGACGTCTTCTTCTTGGTGCGTGGCGAAGTCGAGGTTGTGACCGAGACACCTGGCAACAAGACGCACGAGATGACGGGAGAGCTATTACCGGTGCAGCGTGTACGAGCCCGCCTTAAGCCGGGCCAGTATTTTGGTGAGGTTACTAGTCTTTCTCTGGCGCCAAAAAGAACGGCCACGGTTCGCTCTATCAACAGCGTTGAATGTCTGCGTATCACAGGACAAGTCTTGGACGAGCTCTGGAAGAACTGGTCCTCGAATCTGCGCCAGCAGGTTGAACAAGAGGCTAAGCGGAGACTAAAAGAGGTTGAAGATACAGACATCATTCTGCCAGATGCCNCCTCTGCGGTCGATGCTCTCTCAGCACTACCGCCGGAGGACCAATGGAAGAAGAGCGTGCCCACGGTCACCTTCAGTAACACAGAACCTGAGAGCGCCATCACCAGAGATATGTCTCCTGTCGCAGCTGAGCCCATGGATCCTGATCCTTTCTTCAGCATTGATATGGACAACGTGCGTGCAAAGTCGAGGAGGAGCTCTCTCGCGCCTCCGTCCCCAGAGCCCGTTATGCACGATACTACACATCGTCAACCCTCACCTCCTTCCGCAGGCCGTGCCCTCCCACCCTCTCCATTAAAACCAAGGTCTTCAGTCTCCTCTCTATCTCCTGCATCCGAAACTCGACGTCCTATCAGCCGGCGCCCTAGTGTGTTTGGCAGGCCATCTAGCCGTTCAGGAAGAGGCCCTCTGCCAGATTCGGTGCTTACTATGGTCTTCCAATACCTCGATCTGCCCGATCTTATGCGCTTGAGACTGGTGTCGGCTCATTGGACCCGCCTCTTGACAACAAGCCCGGACATTATTCAGGACCTTGACCTTTCGCGATACAACCGTCGCGTTACGGACTATGCCTTGAAAGAGGCTATCTGTCCCTTCGTAGGATCCCGTGCGCGCCATGTCAACATTAACAATTGTTTCCATGTGACCGACGACGGCTTTGCTGCGCTGGTTGAGTGTTGCGGCGAAAGCGTACGTAGCTGGAGGATGCGTAGTGTGTGGGACGTAACAGGACAGAGTATCCTGGATCTAGTAAACCGTGCAAAGCGCCTAGAGGATATCGATCTAAGCAATTGCCGGAAGGTTGGCGACAATCTCCTAGCACGAATCATAGGCTGGATCGTGCCGCAACCACCACCTGGACACGCAGCACCTTTGCTACCGCCGGTAGCCTCCTCGTCTCGAAGACCCGCGATGAAACGCAATGCTAGCAGTGCAGTGGTTCCACAAGCAGACCAACCTGCCCCAGGCACGGTAGTAGGAGCCGCAGGACTTAAGAAGTTGACACTGAGTTATTGCAAACATGTACAAGATCGGAGTATGGCGCATATTGCTGCACATGCAGCGAATCGACTCGAGAGCATTGATTTGACGCGTTGTACCTCGATTACGGATCAAGGATTCCAACACTGGGGACTATACAACTTTCCACGATTGCGCAAGCTTGTCCTGGCCGATTGCACATATCTGACCGACCAGGCGATTGTGGGCATCGCAAACGCCGCTCGAGGACNNTCAAAGAGCTGGATTTGGTATGTTCTCAAGGCGCATTGCAACAATGCCGCGATCCTACTTTGAAGTTTATGACTAACATCTTTTTCTACCTAGTCTTTCTGCTGTGCACTTTCAGATACGGCGACTGAAGTTCTCTCGCTAGGCTTGACACATCTCACGCACCTCGATTTAGCCTTCTGTGGCTCGGCCGTCTCAGACTCAAGTCTCCGCTGCATTGGCTTGCACCTTCTGGAGCTGGAATATCTTTCGGTGCGCGGATGCGTACGAGTCACTGGTCAAGGCGTCGAGAGCGTCGTAGACGGATGCCCTCACCTTTCGCTCTTCGACGTCAGCCAGTGCAAGAATCTTCTTCCATGGTTGCGATCCGGCGGCGTACAAGCAGTCAGACAGAGAGGCTGTAAAGCGAGATTCGAAGTCGTGGCCGATGGGTCATGGCGTGGTAGCGGAGAAGCATATAAGGGGCTGCATTGCTCCATCTAAGGCGCTGGTATATTAAAGCATTTTCTGGGAAAGGATGTTTGGGTGATGATTTGGGTATGTTTTTATATACTGTAATGCGTTTTAGCGATCCATGGCAAATAAGGGCTCTTACACATGATGGTCTTGTCGGACAGGGTTCCGTGTGCCTGACAATCAAAGGCCCTGAGAGGTGAGCGGTGGAAGAAGCTCCGAAGGATGCGGGGGGAGGTCCGAGGCCCACTGCGGTGGTCAGGCATGACGTTTTTGTTGATCACGAAATGTCCACGAAAGCACTCGCGCATGAGGCTGAACGTCATGACTCCCGCGGCAGCAAGCAGATAACAAGGTAGTTGGCATTCTCGAGCTCTTGCGAAGCTTCTCATCATTCTTCGAACACCATACAACCTCGTCACTAAACGGACAAGATGGCACTTACAGCGGACAAAGTTGTAAGTGAGCCCCCAGAGCTTCCCCAGACGTCTCCAATGTTCGGAGCTGTCCCAACCACCTGCCAGTCACAGATTGAACGGGTCAGAAGCTGACATGAGCTTCTGATAGCTCCTCCACGGATACTGCTGGGGCACCGCGCTCTGGTATGGCTCAAGAGGACTCTGCCGTGTCTGGGACCCTCTAATGGTCATTGGCTGTACGTCCTCCAGCCCTTCTAGCTTTGATACCAAACAATCACCTAACGCACCTCTAGGGTTCCGTCCTCCGGTAGAAAAACACCTGAAGCCTACCGGTAAGCAACCCACGCCCTCAGCAGCTGTAGCAGCAAGAGAAGCGCAAGCCTAAGATCATGCAGACCTCGAATTGTACAACGTACGCACCGATGGCTGGGGCCTCATCTCCCAAGCTGTTGCCCTGGCCGTTCTCTCCCGTGGCTACTCCAAGGGCGGCATCAGCAGAACTTACTCGAGCGCCTTCGTTGCCGTATCCATCTTCCACCACATCACAACCATGTTTGGCGCCTGGCAACACTACAAGCTGGACAGTCACTACACTAAGGCCATGTCGATCGGTGTCTGGTTTAACGCCTTCTTGACAGCAGTCGGTGGTGTCGTCCTGGGAGGCCTCAACAACGATTCTATCGCTAGAACCAAGCTTGCATAGATTGTTTCGCGCCATTTTGTGTCGGAAACCGTGGAGTAATCCGGGACTCCCCAATACTGGACATGACGTGGATACATGATTATAAGGCATGCATAAAGGCAGATGAAGATGAGGAAGAGCTTATAGTACTCACATAAACAATGCGTGGATACGACAGGATTGCGCTTGGAGAGTGACATACTCTGCCTACATCAACAATAGAGCTAATTGTTTCTACTCACGATTTCCCTGACCATCTCCAGGTGTCTAGCTTTGAATGTGTCTTGTTCTGATATTTCTGGGAAGCTGACATAGGAGAAAGGGCTTGGCGCTCCGAACTGTGACTTCCGTCCCTGGGACTTCTGTCCAACACAACGTGGCGCGCTATCCACCCTCTAAAGATCTGGAAATGCTTCACGAGTAGACTGACGTATGTGTGTACAGCCCAATTGTAGTCGAACATGTACCTGATAGAGCGAATCGCGAGCGCTGGTCCACTGCCGGCAGTGAATACGGTTGTCAACGGCCGCCATGGCCGCATCTGGAGCCAACAACGTCTATATTTATACCGTTTCCCTCCAGACAAAGGCATTTGTGAACCCGCGCTATCGACAAGGCGTATTGATAGGGTAGTCTTTTCGTAGGGCAGTGGGCAGCAAAGAGGTTGTGAGACATGAACACTTCAAACGTGGTTCTAACCTTCTAAACCAACGGCATTCTTCTTTGGAAGGGATTCAGAGCCTTTTGCGATCCGCCCTACGGCCAATAATGGGACATGTATATATGGGTATGGCCTCCCAGTCCCCGGTTCGATATCCTTCTCTCGGTCACATTCTTTTCAATACCGCTTTCATCTCACATCTCTTTTCGCGAACGTCGATCTCTTGTTGCGATACTCCAACCTAATCCTTTAATATGCATCTCATCAACACACTCATTCTCGGTGCCGGTGCTGTCTCGGTGGCCAGCGCAGCCACCACGCCTCAATACCTCACCCTCGGCACTTTAAACTCAAACACACCCAGCGGCATCAAGACACCCGCCTACTCGACCATCACCTTCCCCATCACCGACTCCAAGACCAAAGCCTCCACCACCTGCACCCTCCAATGGGACTGGACCAAGAAACCCACTACCTCATGGACAGCCTGCAAGGACACTGCCTTTTCCGTCAAAGTCTCAAACTACAAGACCATGACGGATTTCAAGCTGGACTTGCAGCATCAGTACAACACAAAGACTGGCAAGAAGTGTGTCAACCCTAATGGTACCGGGTGTACTACTACTCTGGCTTCGACTACGGTTTCGAAGTCTGCAGTCAGCTTCCAGAGTTATTGTGGTGCTTCGGGGGCATGTGGTGCTGTTGGAAAAAAGGGTCTGCAGGTTGCTGTGTCGTCATCCAAGACTGGTACTCAGAAGTAGTCAATGGTCAGGCCTTGTGATTACAGTGGTCGCCTCTTTGAAGCGAGACAAGATACTTTCTTGCTTCCGTTTTGTGTGTGGAGCACTCCTTACTGATGGTCGACCGGGATGAAGCTTTCAAGCATGTCCACGATATACTCAATCAATTTCTCATTTTCATTCCAAACATTAAAGACACCCTCTGCCTCCCAAGATATTACATATAAGACTTGTGTGAACAACAGGCACCTTCGACTTACCAAGACAAACAACCTAATGACCTTCCAAAGAGTCACGGCTCACATTGGTGACAGTGTCAAAATATGACCAGGGTTATCCATCTAGCAAAAATGATGTCAACGCGATCGCGACACGAGCTCTCGTGAACCGTCCTGCATCATGCAACCTGCACGAGCAAGCAAGCGACATACGAAACCCTCTCAACCACGGTACACATACTATAACCATAACAGACACAGCATATCAACACCAACAAGCACAAACCACAGCGCCTAAAGTCACAAAAACGAAAAGAACGAAGAAAGATCAAGCCACGCGCTTGCCAACAACCTACCACCTCTCCTTTTTTCTCACCACCACCACCACAGAACAGCACAAAGAACACAAATGGCAGAAGCAACCTCCCGTCCCCTCGCCACCGCAAAACCACGCCTTTCCTCTGGCGCAAACGCCTCTCCTGCCGATAAATCAAAAGAGCCAGATCTCCCTTACGAAGAGCGAGAACTACGCAACCGCGCCGCCCGCGTCCTAGAAAATGAAGAAATGCTGCTCTTGCTGAGTAGACAAAGACACGAGGTAGGTTAATAGAGACCCTGGCATCATCTCCCTTTTCTTTGTGCAAAAAGGACCGAAACAGACGACAAAAAGATGCTTGCTGTGTGAAGTGGTGAAGAAACAAAAAGTAAAGATGAGAGCGCTGGCTGATGGGTGAGCTGTTGCGTTATGAACATATAGTCTGTACTCCAGACCCGAATCTATTGCGAAGCCAGAGCGGCGGGATTGAAAGACGAGACACTCAAGTTCGACTATACCATGGATGTGAGCGAAGAGACGAACAAGTCAAGTACGAAGAGTCCAGCTGCAAAAGGCACTGCACGTGTGGTTTCTGGATCGAGCAAAACCCCTGGTTCGCCGCTGAACAACAAGAGAGACAAGGATCGAGGACGGGATGGAGGAAGGAGGAGCACTGGTTCTGCCAGGTAAGAGCAAGATGGAAAGACAAAATGTACGTTTCTTTGGATTTCATGATACCCCCCTGTTTGCTTTGTTGCTATGATACAAACGGTATATGCTTTCGTAAACACGTTGCTGTTCCGAGTCACTGTCAATGAAGACGTCTAGATATATGTTTCAAGCCATGACTGCAAGCTCTCTCATCCCACCAAGGCAGCCTTTCCGCCTCCATACTTTCCTTGCGGTCCGTCAAGATGCGCATCCAAGACTGCGCAGACACCGCCCTTGACTGCTTCGATAGCTTCAGGAAGCATCTTCGCCAATTCTTCGACAGTACCGGCATGGCCGGCCCAGCANCTACCGCCCGAGGATGCCTTTGCAATGCCTGAGTAGTCAGGCGTGGGTGCGAATGAGATGTTGAGCTCTTCATTCGAAACCTTGCTGCCCTCGCCGTCTGGATGGACCAGAAGGAGCGACTTGCGTGGTGCATTCCAACCTGTTTGCTGTCAGCAGATACTCATGAGGACCATGATGTCACACATTGTTACCTTTNNGTTGTTGAGCACGACTGTGAGAATGGGGATGTTGTAGCGTTGAGCGATCCAGTACACCGATCCTGGCACACTGAAGAGGTATGTGCCATCGCCCACAATCTGGACCACGAACTTTCCTTTGCCATCATTCTCAAAGTCGGTTGCGAGCTTGATTCCCAGAGCACCGCCACCTGACCATCCAAGTCCACCGCCGCCACAATTGATCCACGAACCTGGAAAAGTGGCTTGAATCTGGTCCGCAACAAATGCTGTGTTCGTTACCGCCTCGATGGCCCAAATGGTGTCTGCGGGACACGCCTTGCGCAATTGGTGAACCAAGTACGAACATCCATATGTACCATCTTCACCAGGCTTTGCTTGGTCTGAGATCGTCTGCAAACGTTGCCTGTGGGAGTCCTGGAGTTTGATCCATCTCTCTTCGAACTTGCTGCTTGTGATCTCGCTTTCGAACTTGGTCTTCAGATACTCGGTGATCTGTGTCACAGCAGTCTCTGAGTGTGCACGATATCTGGCCAAGGCATTGATGTAGAACACTGGCATCTGCTGTTTGAGAGGATCGACGTCGATGTGGATGATTCTGGCGTCGTCTTTGGGTTTGCACTGTGTCGGAATCCAAGGGACATCGCAATCCAGTACTATGATCACATCTGCAGTTTTGATGTTGTCTTCGATGCCGTATCTTAGACCTAGCCATGCTGGGTGGTCGGCAGGGAAGCACATATCGCTACCGCCAGTATCCAAGACCTTGAGTCCTTTGACGGTATTAGCGAGCTCGACAAGTGCCCCCACAGCATTATGGTTGCGTCCGCTGTAGCCAGTGATGACCAGGGGTGATTCGGCTTCCACCAAGAGTCGGGCCACATTCTCTGTCTGCTTCGGCGTCAAGGCGCTAGGCTCCACTGCAGTCCAGTAGCGTTGGTCGAGCTTGTACGGTTCGATGTCTTCTTCCATGGCCTCTCGAGCACCAACCAGATATACCGGACCTCTTGGCTCGCTTGTAGCAAATGCCAAGGCTCTGTTGACTAGTTGCTTGACATTGGCACCACGCTTTATCTCTCCAGTGTAGCGACAGTACTGTGCAACGATTTGCTTCTGATCCGGAACATCTTGGATCCAATGGATGTACTCGGTTCTTGAGCCACGATACTCGCCTTCGATCGTGTATGGCGAAAGTCCAGCGAAGATGAGAACAGGTGCTCTTCCGCAAGAAGCATTGTGGACTGCAGCACCAAGGCCCTGAGTTCCTACATCGACATGGACGATGACACATTGAGGCTTGTTGGTAAGTCTTGCATATCCATCAGCCAGACTGAGAGCGACCATCNNTAAGAAACATCAGCATGGGTTCAAGCTGAGCAATGCACTATATAGTACCTCATTAGGACAAGTGATAATTCGTGGAAAGTTTCCATTCTTCTCGTTCTGTCCCTTGACGATTGCTTCGATGATGCTGGGATGGTCTGAGCCAAGATTGACGAAGCAATGCGTGATGCCGGCCNNTAAGTTCATTTGATCAGTATTGAGCAGATGTTTGCATGAATTGATAGACGTTACCTCATATATAGCCTCAAAGAAGGCGAAGGACGCTGTATATACCCTGCTGCTATCAGCCGAGATGCATGTATAAGACGCTTGGCTGCATACATGGTCTCGTATTCAGGAACCGGTAACACGAGTGATCTCAATCACGCGAACTGGTAACCACACAACTGTCAATACCAAACAAAGTCGCAGCTCCAGAGAGGAAGGGAAGCAATCAAGTAGATGGCCGTCTGGTGTGCAACATTGACCCCGCTCGGCAAAGCATCACGGCCAACTTCGGACCCCACTTTCTACATTCATCCTTCGGCCTCAGGCAGGAACGATCAAGAGCAACCTGGTAACAACGAATGTCTTTTTTTTCAAACTACTTCCACCGGGTAGTTCCATCTTCTAGCAAAGATTTCCACCATCGCGCTATATCCACTTCTTACTCTCCTCGCATCCACAATTTACTTTACAACGACTCAAGTTTGTTCAAGCCTATTCCTCGTCCAGCAAGACTCTCTTTTAACCAGTCGACATTACTTGCGTGGCTTTATCACCAATCTCACACAAACATGCCGAGAATTTCCATATTCTCTAGGAAGAAGGACCAGAGACGCTGGAGCTGCGTCCAGTTCTGTTCGCATTCAGTTCTTCCTCGAAGTCATGGACTTTACCAAGGCGAGCTGCAGGCAGCCATTTGTCCTCAGGCATGAACCACCAAGAGAGTAGAGCAAAAATGGTGATCGCACCAAAGATGACAGGTGAGTAGTTGAAGTTGGGACCAGTAACTGGGAATTCGAGAGGAGAAAACAAGACTGCGGCCAGGTAGAGATTCCAGATAAGAGCAATGAAGTTCAGAGGACGAGACCAGCGACCAAGAGACCAGGGAGCATTCTTGAACTCTCCCGGTGTGAGGAAAGTGCGGCCAAAGCAGATCAATGCATATGCTGTGATTGTGGGGACACCTGCAGCAGAAACCAGGGACGCGAACGCGGTAGCAGAGGGAAGAATAGAGCAAAGCAGCACTGCAGCAACGACCAACATGACAGTGACTGCATTTCTTGGCTCTTTGTTGGCAGAGACGGCAGAAATCCAACCTGAGAATGGCAAGACGCCATCACGTGCAACGGCCCAAATCAGACGAGATGATGCGACTCCGCTGACAGTGGTATTGAAGAAAAGACCAAGGATGCAAACGATGTTCATGACAAGGTGGCCTCCTTTGCCCATAGCCTGCGCGTAGATGCCAACGAACGGTTGAGGGTAGTCAAAGTCGAACTTGCTGAGGTCCGGGCAACAGAACAAGAACAGGATAACCATAGGGAAGCCCATCAAGGCAGAGACGAGAGCAGATGTGAAGATACCCTTGGCTGCGACAACATTTGCGTTCTGAGTTTCCTCGGAGATGTGACCACTCGCTTCGAAACCAACAAGAATGCCTGCAGTGACGTAGTAAGACAACATCCAGTTCCAGACCGGTGGAGCACCTGTAAGATTCTCCGTGGCTGTAAATGCGAACTTGGCCGACTGGAATCCATAGGTCTGAGAGACCGCAATAGGAAACCAGATGATATTCAAGATGAAGTCGAGGCAGATCAAGCCAGAAGCAATTCTGAAGATCCACTTGTAGGTTTTGGGGTTGAGATAGTTCATGCCAATGGCGAGGAAAAGAATACCCTCGGACACGGCCCATTGTACTGCGCGGAATTTGATGTCGCCAGTGTCGGTAATAAGAGAGGTGACACCGAAGACCGGAAGCTCGGACAGGATGAAGTTGGCAGTACTCTGACAAAGCGAAGCCACGAAAGTTGTCCAGGCCGTGCACGACCACCACGCAACAACGAAGCCGAAGAGTCTGGCGTACTTGGGACCGCCAGCTTCTGCGGCCCAGAAGTAGATCGAGCCAGCTGCAGGAAGGGCGGAGCAGATCTCAGCCAGAACAGCGGCAGTGATCATGGTGAATACCATAGTGACAAGGTACGAGGANCCTGGACTGGTCAGTAATGGCTTATCGTAGCGGCTGCTTAGGACGCGAGCTTACCAGTAGGCTGCAGGACCTCCAGCTTCGACACCGATATAGAATGTTGCTCGGATGCCACCGATAACATACATTGCAGCTGGATAATCGTTAGATGGGGTTGCCGATGGAACGTCTGAAGTGCATTACCGAAGCTGGCGGAAAAGCTCTCTGCGAACTTCCATTGGCGGTGCAAAGTCTGGCTGGTTGTTAGAGGTCTGCTTCTTGATGTATTTTGACAGAGGCACTCACTTGCTTATAGCCGAGTGCATTCTGCCCTGTATCAGGTCAAATGTTCTCCGACATACGGAAAGGGGAATCAAGAAAGGCCGATTCGATAGTCTATGCATCTCCTTACGCGTCTATGAAGACGATCAAGTTCGTGCGGTTCTTCTCAACCTGATGCCATCCCAATGCCTACAAGAGGCAGAGGGTGGATCAGATGCCCGCGTGCAGTGACTTTGTTGCTGAATTGTCGTTGTGGAACCGATTGATTTTCTTGGCCTTGAACTCACCTGTGGCCAGTATGCGCGTTTGGAGGATGCTTGTTTGACTCATCTGTTTCGTCCATTCGAGATTCCGACCATCTCATACCAGGTAGCGTTCGTCAGAGTCCATGCTCGAGGTTTCGGCAAAGTCGGATTGCAGATGGTTCTTAGGTTCTGCACCGCTGCCGCGATGCTTCATTTGGGTCGACATGCTGAGAGTTGGATAGGAACTGAATCAAATTAACGAAGTGAGGAAGCGATGTTGGGAGGAGACAGCGAGTGGTGGGAACGGCTCAGTCACATCGTATTATATTTTTTCCTTCTGCGGTTGATTGGACCCTTCATGACCACACACTTTCCACCATCGGCCCGCTGTCCACTCGAGGTCGAGGCCGAGGTCGGATGATCCTTCCCTAGACATCAAGCCACAATAAACATCTTCCTCGCCAAACACCGAAAATGCTTGTCTGAATCGACATCGCATCATATGCTTCTCGTTGTCCATCTTCCCTAATTTTTTGGCTATTGGCTATGCGACGATTGTGCTGTGGGTGCAAGACACGGACGAAATTGCGACGGGTTCATGACGACTGCCGTTAAACTTCCATGAATTCCAGCCACGAACCGCGACTCCCGGACAGACGCGGTACTGTACTTCTCAGCTGGGCGCGCCCAGTATTTCCTTCTTCTACTATCTATTCATTGTGAGGGTGCGCATGTGAAAGTCCGACATATTTTTGTCGTCCCTGTACAACATCTATCATCAGTACTATGTTTATCAGTCTCAAATACACGAGACACTGATCATAACAACGTCGACATACCGACCCTCTGGGGAGCCTTTTTCAGATCTCCCGCCACACATACTGCATACTCAAAGATGTCCACAATCAGAGTGTTATAGAACCTGTCAGTATCTTATACCAACATGAGTGAGCAACGCGGCTCGAGTGCCTTCGAAGGATCCTCGGACTGTACTGGTCTCTCGAAGAAGCAACATACCGAATCCGAGAGAAGACCGTCATGGCGTGGGAGAGACTCGGAAAGCCCTGGCCTACGACGCAAATCTTCAGAAAGAAGAAGGTCATTCGAGAGAGCTCCAGACCATAAACAGTGGTGGAAATTCACGCTGAGGTCTTGGGATGATGACCAAAAACAGGATTGGTGGTTCGCTGGCACTGCAATCCCACTCCTCGCTGCGACTATGGGTACGTGTGTGTAAGAACCATGCATCGGTTTGCATATCGTCTCAGTTTTAATGCTGAACGATCAAGAATGTGGAGATCAACTCTCCATCATCATTCTGGACTGCAGCTCGCATTAGGTCGAAGTACGAACACCCGCTAACGTCGTATGAANNGGTCCTCTCGCAAACGTTCTATCTATTGCAGCCTTAGTCACGCCGTGGAGAATGTGTCTACTTGATGGAGTTGATGCAGAAACCTGTCCATGGAACGGGTCTAGTGAGCTGCTTGCAGATCTCGACGGCCACACCTTTGCAGATCCCCACTGGTGTTACGCGCTCAACATATTCTCACTCGCACTAGGCTTCGCAGGAAACGTCTTCTTACTATTCAACTTCACAAATCGTATTAGATATATTATTGCGCTTCCCTTGACCATCGTCCTGTGGTATGCCGCAACTGCAATTGTGAGTGGTCGCAAGCCCAGCTTTTGGGATCAGTCTAAACTAACATCTACAGNNTTGATTGGTATCGAAGCATCCATGAACCAGTACGTGCCGCCTCAGCGGCCGCAGCAAAGCTATACGCAAGGCTTTTGGTATGCCGTTATTGCTGCAATTTTCTATCTGATTTGCTCGATGCTGCTCATGGTCAACATGCTTGGGTATTTTCTTGGGCATTACCCACAACGATTCAATCTCACAGATTCTCATCGTACGCTTATCCTGCAGACCATGTTATTCTTTGTATGGCTCGCTGGAGGCGCAGGTGTGTTCTCGCTGGTCGAGAGCAAGTACGGACAGGATCTGTTCAATTGGTCCTACGTCAATGCACTGTACTTTTGTCAGGTTACTGTACTAACCATCGGCTTCGGTGACTTGTATGCAACAAGCAACATTGGCCGAGGCCTAGTCATGCCTTACGCCGTGGGAGGTATCATCATGCTTGGTCTGATAGTGACCAGTCTTACAACATTTGCGGCCGAGCTTGGGGAAGACAACATAGTCCAGAAGCATATTGAGAGGAGCCGTACTCGGACGATTGGAAGATCATTCACGAGTTCGATCGAGCTCAGAGAACGCGAAGAACTTGCAACGGGCTTGAGACCGACGATTTCGAGGCCCTTCGATCCAGTAAATCGCAGTATTGTGTTTGCAGAGGATGCTACACAATCAAAAGACATCAATCCAAGCCCAGAGCAAGGAGCTTTCAGCGCTCTAAGACGCACTGCAACACTACCGTTGACCGTGCTTCGGCCAGCTCGCAAGCCTCGTCTTTTACTCCTTCGCGAAGAGAAAGATCGTTTCAATGCGATGCGACGCATACAAAAGAAGACTCAAAAATGGAAGAAATGGTCTGGTCTTTGTATTTCGGTCTCAGCATTCTCCATCCTTTGGTGCATTGGTGCCTTGATCTTCTGGATCGCCGAGCGCCGTGTCCAGGGCATCACCTACTTCCAGTCGCTTTACCTCTGCTGGGTTTCCCTTCTCACAATTGGATACGGCGACCTCGCACCGAAATCCAATGCTGGGCGTCCCTTCTTCGTGGTCTGGAGTCTTATCGCTGTCCCGACAATGACGCTTCTAGTTGCCGACATGTCGACCACCATTGTTAACAGCTTCAACCAAGGCACTTTCCGTCTAGCCGACTTTACCATCCTACCCAAACACGGCATTTGGCGCACATGGTTAGAAAACCACAAGGAGCGCAAAGCAGTGCAGCGCCGCCTAGAACGAGGCTTTGAGACTGGCATCACAGAGGACGAACCCACTATCGACAATCTTGCCAAAGAAGAAGGCAGCAAAGCACCTAGTGATGGCGAGCTGGCCAGGAGGCTAGCACACGCCATTCAAAACGTAGCCCAGGATTTGAAGCAAGATCCACCACAATCCTACACTTACGAAGAGTGGGTGAAATTCACGCAGTTGATCCGCTTCACAGCCATAGGAGATAGAGAGGAAGGCGGTAATAGGTATGAAGCGGATGAAGATGGTATGATCGAGTGGGATTGGATTGGTGAACATAGTCCGCTCATGGCGCAGCAAAGTGAAGCGGCATTCGTGCTGGACAGATTGTGTGAGAGTATGACGAGATATGTCCGGAAGATGGAAGCCATCCGCCGCCCTGGAGGTGTTGGAAAGAAAGAAGAAGACGGAGATATAAAGAGGCAATCGCGTGAAATTGAAGAGATCAATGAGGAGATTGCGGAAGCTTGATGTTGATGCCACAAGGCCTGAGGAAATGACCTACCAACAATCTTCATCGAGGCAACAGCAGCAACTGAGTGGAACGGCGCAGCCGCACTCTTGATTTCGTTGCTCCTTCTTATTCATCACCGATGCAAGCTTGTGGATCGGAGCAAAGACCCATCAGCTGTCAGTAAGGAACAATCAAGTCGCAGGACAGGGAAGTGCAGTCGGACACGATTCAAAGGAAAGAGCGCTGTGCAACATTGGGTCAAAGAAGGATCGATCTACGTTGAAGTGCAAGAAGGAGGTACAGAGGAAGAGTAGAGTAAACTTGCTCTCGGCCCAACACCAACAACAAGACACGGCCTGACCGACACGAAGAGATTGGAGAACTGCAACTCGAGCCGGCTATACTGGAAAGACTGCCGACTCGTCAAAGCTATAACACTTAAGACCTTCAACACCACCTCACCTCACAACCAAGACACTCTCACCTCTCGACAAAACTGAGAACGAAATCGTCAAACCTCCTCCCCAGGGACCTCAAGATTAGCAAAACAAATCCCCGCTACTAGGACTCAACCGTCAAGAACCCGTTCGCGGGAAGAAAGCTACCAGTTTCCTGGTTTCATTTCGAATGTCGAGGAGGTGCGAGCGTCCATGGCTCTTAGTATTGGCAATGGCGAGGATTGAACCAAAGACCTTAAGATGCCAACGGGAAGCGCCAACTATGAAGTTGGCGTGAGACCGCTGGGCCAACCATCGCTTGACGGTAAAGCGATATTGGTGATTTGATGGAGACGGTGGTGTTGGTACAAAAGGCGAGTGAACAAGTGCGTGGTTAATCTGATTTGCTGCTTTTGGATATCGTGAGCTTGTTATTTTTGATTCCCAGTGGTTCTTCGGGGTCTTGTGATAGACGTCATAGAGAAGGACGGCGCTCTCTCAGTGTTCAGCTACAGATAAACAATGCTCAAGACACAAATAGAGAATCTTTTTTTCTTTTGGATCACCAGTAAATTGCCATGTGTTCAGTATCATTGAACTACTGTACTCTCAACCCAGCACTTAAGTGGTAATCATCAAACAAGAACCAGCAATATATCAGTACCCAACTCCTTCATCAGCAAAAACCAACTCCGCAACTCCTTCCAGACAAAACATCAAGGCAGACAGATGAGAAACGAAACCGAAAAGACAAAACTCAAGATCGAAGGAGACAAAGATCAAACATGTAAGCTCAAACAGAAGGGATTCTCCAGAACAATACAATAAGCAAACCAGACAGCAAGAAGAAAGCAGGTGTGAAGATCTCGTGGGGTGGGTACTCTGTGGCCCCCGAGGTCTTGTGGTCAGACCAGTGGTGAAGAACCGATCCTGTTCAGCAGACTGTATAGTTCTTAGCAATAGTGTCGTGTGAAGGGAGCAGACCTAGCCAGAAAGAGAGTTGCTTGATAGAATTATTCGAGTGTGTGATCGATTTACTTCTTGCTTTTGCTCTTTTTGTTCTGATTGGTGTTAGGAGGTGTGTTACTGACCTGGTTGTTCTGTTGTGCTCTCTGNNGGCAGCCATCTCTCTTTGAGCAGACTCTTTTTCACCCTCGCAGCTCATGCAAGACTGGTATGTCTGATGAGGGAGGTTGTGGATTGGGCACACAAATGTGTGGGCGGTGCAGCGACGGATAGGATGATTGACCATTCTGCAGTTTCCAAGTCTGCGTTGCGAACAGTGGTGGGTCTTGGTCATATTGGGAGGTTGACTGAGGTGAATTGAGTAGGTAAGGTTGGAGAGAGGTAAGTTTGTTGCGTGGTGCTTGGTCTTGTTGATTGATTTTGCTCTGGAGTTTTCTGATGAAATTGTGAAAAGGACGTAGAATCGAAGGTCCTTATGTACCTTTTCCTCGTCCATATCGAGTGCAATGCATCAAAGCAAGTACATGAAAGACACGGTGGGTCGCCAGGAGGCCCTCATGTCAACGACAAAGACGACTAGAATAGATTGAAGGGAGACACTGCCACTCCTAACCCAAATCAAAGAAGGTTGTCTTGCCTACAAAGGATACACACTTGGTCTGTAAAGAAGAGAGTATTGGAAAGAAAGACACTTTGTCTCAACAAGTATGGAAGGCGAAAAAAGACAGAGTTGCGAGGGGGCTGAACGCAAGGGTCACATTCTTGTCGAGAATATTCGGGAGATCAGAGAAGAGACCCTCTTGAGAGACCCGCGGTATTCTCATGCTCGCAACATGGACTATGACTGTTTGGAAGATAATGTTGTCTCACGCTTGAAGAAGGTGAACGTCAGGGGAAGATGAGACAGGTCTCGAGTGCTTGAGACACACCGAGGATTATTTGCGGCATAGTCAGTCTATTCTCTATACACTTTGATCAGCAAACAGAAACACGAGCTATCGGGATGTACACGGTGGGTGTCTTCGTCATTTTCAAAGTGGACTTGTGTTTTCAGTACTTGGAAATAGGGATGCTGAGTGCCCATCGCTCCGTTGGGTGAATGACAATCTCTACACGATAACAAATAAGAGGATACTCAGATACTGACACTTGTGTCCAAGTAAGGTGGACTCCTATCGAGGGGATAATCAAGTTCGTAAGACATGGCATTCCGAGAAACAGACAATACCAATACACCTCAAATATCTTGAATGACTGCGACTCCAAAACTGCGTAACGGAAAAAGAACATGAAACCTCAAACAAAGATACAAAGGAAAGAAACGTGGAGCAAAGAAAAGTCAGAGGTGGAAATAGAGCGCCAGGCAAGGAGATAACCGTCAGGAAGGCGAGTCAAGAGCAAGGGGAGGAGAACATAGCCACTTTCAAAACTCTCCGAAAATCTCGAAGCCCGGTAGTTGCAGATAACTAGATGCCAGATGTGTTCGTCAGCGAAAGAGTCATGTGCAGGACTTTTACCGAACGATGAGCATAAACCAGAGGTCTCGTTGAGAGCAGGGGCAAAGAGTACGAGGAGTCAAGTATAAACCCCAGCTCCCTTGAACCAGGACTCGAAACCAGTGTTGACCGGTATCGGGCTATCGAGTTTTTAAGATGCCCAGGCCATGCAGGGTGGTGTCGAAGATGGCCTACCTGGACTGTTCGCCAGTAGTAGACAGTTTAGCATGAGAACAGTTCTTCTCACACTTACAGCAACGCTCACGCTTGAGATGGGCCCATTCATGCTCGGAACAGACGATCTGATGCATCGGACAGTAGTAAACACCAAGGACCTTGATAGGCTTGCGGCAGTTTTTACCGCCACGACGCTTTCCGGGATAATGGTGCATCTTAGGTATGTTGTTGTTGTCAAGAATATTAGTTGAAGTGGGTTGAAAGTGGTTGGGAGTCAGGTAGATGATGATAATACTTATCGTCGAATGTTGTTGCTGGAAGGATGATTGTCTGAGGCTTGCTGGCGAGGATGGATATTGAGGACGAAGAACCGGTCGTTATGTATACTTCTCAACATTCAAGCTCAGCCATGTCAAGAACAAAGGCATGAAAAATTCATGGTATACGAAACGGTCTTCATCCCTTCCAACAAAGATAGATCTAACAATACATGATGGTCTTCACTCTTCCAACAAAGCTGGTGAGTCTGAAATAATGGTATGTTGGTCGAACAAGGAGAAGTGAAAGCAGTGGCCGAGTTGTAGAGTAGAACGTCTCGCCAAGCGCGTTCAGGGGCTCGAGGAGGAACCTCTTCATGATATGGATTAGCTTCCAAAATGGTCAGTGTTGGCACCAGATGGCGAGCAGGCCTCAGGACAGCAGCATGTAACATGTTAAGATGATATGTGAGTCGAGACAGGGCGAGACGGGCCTCGAGCTTTCTGAGACATGTCGGATATTTTCTTTAAACCGATTCGTTCTCGATATAGCTTTGATTAACGCTGGATAGCTGGCGAGCTATCCATAATATGAAATTACATGGATTCAGGAACGCGGCATGGTTGTGACTTCAAAGGTCGGGCAGAGTCGAGCAATCGCGAGCCTCTCAAAAGTCTGCTGATGTTAGCATGGAATCTGGTGATCGTTCCTTCTTTTCTCAGCCACTCAAACGGCACTGGCTAGATGTTTAGACGTCTTTTTCCACCTCTTGGAAACGGTGTATAAATTGTATTTGCAAGGAAAATTTCATTCTTTTGGGTGGTCGTACGCTAAATCGCAACGAGTCTCATGGGCAGTCCCTTGATCATGTGTAGATTTGGCGTTCAGCAAATGATGCCTCCTTCCGCCTCGGCGCGTGTCCTCTTCTTCTCGTCCCCGTGCGACGCTTCCCAGCCTCTATCGCCATGTCTAACCCAAACCCGAAGACTCGATATGCATGCAGCGCTGTGCTCCTTATTTTTGCGTGACGATCGAACTCCAGACGCCGGAAGCAGAGGGGTGTATGGCTGCGTCGTGTGCGAAGGAAAAAAAGGGTCAAAACGTGGTTGGCGGAAGAATTTACTCGTCGACGGCAACAATGCCATCCTCTTCGCTCTCGTCCTCGTCGCCGCTGACTTCCTGGTTCTCGCGCTCGCGCTTGTCCATGAGGGCTTGGAGCTCGGCATCGTCGTTCTCGGTGACAGCCTTGGGGGCCATCTTGACGGAGCAGGTGCCGCCAGCTGCGGTGATGGTCTTGGTGACCTCCTGGATGGCTTCTTCGAGGACAGTGATACCGATGGTCTTGTCGAGAGTTTGCGAGGTGAGGACGTAGAGAGGGGGAGAGACGAGCTTGACCTTGACTTGGGTGTCTTCGGTGTTGCGGGCCTCAGCCTGGCGCAGGGCGGTCTTGACGGCGTCGATTCCCTCGTAGCCGAAGCAGGTGACTTCGATATCGGCACGGACCTTTGTGGGCTGGGGTGTCAGGCGCTTGCCAATGTATGAGATGAGCTCCTCCTTGATGACGTTGTTGGCAAACTCGACCTCGTCCCAAACCGTCTTGCTNGCGTTGTGTAAGTGAATGGTTCATGCATAGGAGGCAGTAGCGGCGTACTTTGAGATGGAGATTCTGAAGGCGTCGAGACT